CAAAAGACAGGCATAGGAGTTGAACATTTACCTGAGGTAGATACACACCTTGGAGAGAACAATCATGGGAGAAAGAAGGCCTGTTTATACACAGGGAGACAGCTCAGGGGGCAGGGATGCATGGAGGGATGGACACAGGGAAGAGGTGACTGTTGTGAGGAAGTAGGAGGGGACCATATTATGGTCAATGTCATGAGACAAAGTGTATTTGAACTGCTGTATGGAAAGTGAATTTGCTCTGTAAATTTTCACCCCAAATCACACACACACACACACACACACAAAGAAAGAAACAGATCAAGGACCTAAATGTGAAAACTAAAACCATGAAATCCTTAGAAGAAAATATAGGAGCATGATTGTAGGACCTAGTTTTTAACAATGGAGTATATCAGATGACAACAAGAGCAGCTAAAGACAAACTAGATAAACAGGGCCTCATAAAAAATACTTTTGTTCCTCAAAGGACTTTATCGAATATATGAAAAGACTGGAAGAAAATTTGGGGGAAGCATACATCTAATAAGGGTCTAATATCCAAAATATATACTTAAAAAACTTCTGCAGTTTAATAACAGAAGGACAAACAACCCAATAAAAAGATTGGCAAAGAGCTTGAACAGACATTTCACCAAAGAAATTGGCGATTATTCAAATGGCCAATAAGCACATGAAAAGATGCTCACTGTCATTAGCCATTCCCATTGCTATTGAATTGATTCCAACTCATAGAGACACTATAGGACAGAGTAGAACTGCCCTACAGGGTTTCCAAGGCTGTAATCTTTATGGAAACAGACTGCCCTATTTTCTCTCCCACTAGCAGCTGGTGTGTTTGAACTGCCAACCTTTCAGTTAGTAGCCAAGCTCTTAATCACCGCACCACCAGGACTCTTTGTTAGCCATTTTTATTGTTGTTTTAGGTGCCATTGAGTTGTCTTTGACTCATAGCGACCCTGTGTATAGCAGAACAAAACACTGCCCAGTCCTGTGCCAGCCCCACAATCCTTGCTATACCTGAGCCCATCATTGTAGCTACTGTGTCAATCCATTTTGTTGAGGGCCTTCCCCTTTTTCATTGACCCTCCACTGTTAGCCTTTAGGGAGTGTTTTGGTTACCTTGTGCCACTCCAGCAAGAATATACCACAAATGGGATGGCTTGAAGAAACAAGAGTTTATTCTCTTACAGTTTGGAGGCTTTAAGTCTGAGTTCAATGTGCCAGGCTCTAGGGGCTGGGTGAAAGTCCCTCAACCTTGGGCTTCAGCTCTGTCTCCTGCTCCTGGCCCACTGGAGCTAGAGGGGTTTCTTCACTCAGACAGCTGCTGGTTGCTAAGACTGACAAGCCCAAGGTTGACAAGTAAAAAGGCATAGTCCCAATGTTACCAAACCACACAGCAGGCCATTAATTCAAGTCCATTGAAAGTCCCCAGGTTGGCAGTGCATGGGAGGCTGCTGAACAATGACACGGCTACATGCAGGGTCCAAGCATGCCATAAGCTAAAGAGTGTTCCCCAAGGCTTCTCCTTATATATAAGAAGCAGACCACATTCCCAAAGGCAGCTACTCAGCTGCTCACAGTAGATTCCACCATGGAGTTGATTACCAGTCTCATCATGGGGAATACTACATCACCTGCCCAGCCACTCAACCGGGCCCAGCCAAATTGACACACACAAACTACCACAGGGAGATAGAAATTTACACCATAATGACATACCATCTCATCCCCATTAGAATGGCAATGATCAAAAAAATAGAAAACAGTGAGTGTCGGTGAGGTTGTAGAGAAAATAGAACCATCATCCACTGCTGGTGCAAATGTAAAATGGCACAACCCCTGCGGAAAAAGTTTGGTGATTCTTCAAAAGGCTGAACATGGAACTACCATATGACACAGCAATCCTAATCCTAGTTACCAATACCCAGAAGTGAAGGAAAGAATGCAAACAGCAACCTGTGTATCAATTGTTTACTGCAGCACTTTTCACAATAGCCAAAAGGTGGAAGCAACCAGTGTCCATCAAGAGAAGAATGGATAAGCAAAATGTGGTATATACATACAAAGGAATATTACTCAGCCATAAAGAGAAATGAAATTCTGATGCATGCCTCAACATGAGTGAACCTTGAAAACATTATGCTGAGTGGAATAAGTCAGACTCAAAAGGAGTAATACTGTATGATCTCGCTTATATGGAATAAGTCAATATATAGAAAAAGATTATTAGTGGCTACCAGGGATGAAGCTCTGGTGGCGTAGTGCCTATGGCATTTGACTGGTAACCAAAAAGGCTGGTGGTTCAAACCCACCAGCCACTCCTCAGAAGGAAGATTGGACAATCTGCTTCCATAGAGATATTGCCTCAGAAACCCAAAGAGGGGTCACTATGAGTCAGAATCGACTCGACGACAGTGAGTTTGGTGTTTTGATTTACCAGGGGTGGAAGGGAAGGGGAGAGGGGGAGTTTTTGCTTAGAGGGCATTGAATTTATGTTAATAGTGACAGAATAATTTGGAAAAGGATAGGAAGAATGGTTGCACAACATAAAAAAATGTATTCAATGTCACTGAATTATATATGTAGAAATTGTTGAACTGGTGAATGTTTTGTTGTGTATATTTTCATCACAATAAAAGAAAGAAAACCCTATGGAGCAGTGTTCTACCTGACACACGTGGGGTCAACTGAGTTGGAGTCAACTTGATGGCAACTGTTTTTGGGGGCTTGTTTTAGGCATTTGTACTAAACCAAAACCCATTGCCATTGAGTGATTCTGACACATAACAACCCTATAGGGTTTCCAAGGCTATAATCTTTACAAAAGCTGATTACCACATTTTTTCCCACGGAGCAGCTTATAGGTTCAAACCACTGACCTTTTTGTTAGCAGTCATGCTCTTAATAACTGTACCACCAGGTCTCCCAGGCATTTTATGTTGTTGTTGTTGTTGTTGTTGTTATGTGCCATCGAGTCGACCCCGACTCATAGCGACCCCTCCTTGGGTTTCCGAGGCAGTATCACTACGGAAGTAGGATTGCCCAACCTTCCTTCCAAGGAGTGGCTGGTGGGTTTGAACCGCCAGCCATCTGGTTAGCAGGCAAGTGTCTTAGCCACTATGCTACCAGAGTTCCCAGGCATTTTATAGGGACCTGTTAATCAAGATCTTGCTGTGTGCTCAGTGCATTTACCAGGACTTTGTGAAGTGCAGATGGAAAAAATGGATGCTTAGGGAATGGAAGTCGCTCATCAGACTGACATGTAACTGGGTAAGATTCAAGTTCAGGCCCAGCTGACTCTGGCCTATGGCTTCCTCCTTTCAGCCCCATTAGTGCCAGGGGCTCTCTCAGTGCTCATCACAGCAGTGTCTTGAGGTGCTGACAAGGATACTGAGGCACAAGGTAGTCACTAATGTTTACAAGGTCACAGGGCCAGCAAATGGAGCTGAGACATGAACTTGGTTGCACCCCAGAGTCCACGTTCTTATCCACAAAACCAATTGCCTCCTGCCATAAGCTAATTACAATTAGTTGCTGATTCCTAAAGCACAAGTTTTGTTTCCAGAACTTAAGTGCTATTCGAGAGGAGTCCGAAATGCCTGTTATTGAGATGAAGATAGTGGAGTGTGGCGAGGACATCACTCAGCTGTTCAATGTGCTCATGACCCTGGAACTGCAGCTCGTGGAGCAGCTGGAGGTGAGGAGGACTCTATGCGGGAGTGGGCTCTGAGCCTGTGACACCTGCACAAAGTCCCCAGGGTAGACTTTAGCCCACAAGGTGGCAGGCCAGCATTGTGTTCCTTGTGGCTAATCCTAGGGTCAGGTCTTGCTTGACAATCCTGAGCTGGTTTTTATGTGCTTGCATTGTCTAGATTTGAAATGGTCCTTGTGAGAATGAGAGGCGAGCTCCTCCCCAAGTGGGGAGAAGTTTGTAATTCACCCAGGAGCTGTTTGGGAGCTCAGAGACAGAGGGAGCCCCACCCCACAGGCTGACATCACCAATCTTGGAGCAGGCAAGAAGACTGCAATCCAGCACTAACTAAGCACTACTCTCTGAAATTCATGAGTGACCAGAGTGAAGTGTACTCACTGAATGGTGTGATGAATTGAGTCTCCGTGGATGCTGCCATGGCTGGCCAGGAGATAATATCTAATCAGTTCCTCACAGGCCTGGTACCCCCATCCCCTACACCCAGACATGGGACAGGCTCTTCATGCGTCCCACAACATATGCTCTCCATGGGGTCGCACCAACTCCTACACACAGCAAACATGCTCCAGGGAGGCATGTAGCAGCTGCCCAACCTTCTCAAGCAGGGGCCCCTTTTTGACCTCCCCAAGTTCCCCAGGACCCATGGTGGGTACCAGTGGCCAAGAAGCTGCAGTGCAATTGTGCTTTCCAGTGACTGTATACATTACAGCATTTACAAAGTGGTTGAGGAATGTCTAGATTCTGCCTACAGCCCCTGGGGTCTAGGGCTATGCAGGGGACTGACCCATCTTAGGGCCATATAGCAGCAGGCCTTACAACATCTCTACTGCACATCCAGCCCATTGAGCCCCACATGGGCCCTCGGTGCCCTGAGGCATGGGGACATAGCCTTGCAGAGGGTACAGCTATGTGAGGCCTGGGTGATACTTTACCTGAGCGCTTCCCTGTGTAGGCAACTTGCCATGAAATTTATATGAAATGACTCATTTAAGCTTCACAACAACTCCAGGACACCACACACTACTTGAAGATCCATTTTATAGATGAGGAAGTGAGGCCCAGGCAGGTTAGACACAGTCCCATAGTTGTATGCAGTGGCAGAGCTGGGAGGCAACTCCTGCGCTATTTCTGTGGAGTGACAGTCACACTAAGAGGCAGGTAGCTCTGTGGCAGGCTGGGGGAGGTAAGGTTGGACAGAGATTCCTGGCGGAGGGACAAACCTCAGCAAAAAGCCCAGAGAAAGGGTATGGCGATTGAGTTACATGGCCAGTGTATAATAGCTGTGGGAGGAGGTGGGATCATTCACAGTATTCTAGTAAGGTGGAGGCAGGCCTGAACCCTGAAGCAAGAGCAGAGGCCACCCACCCAGCTGTGTGCTGAGCAGCGCCTTCTGCTCTGGTTTCAGGCCCTCGAATCTAAATGTACGCATTAACTGTGTTCTTTATCATTCCTAGGAGACAATAAACATTTTTGAAAGGAACATCATTGACTTGGTGGGACTTTTTATCGAAAATGTCCAAAGCCTATATCCTTCCTGTGAAGACTCTCCATGGGGTGGCCCTCACTGCTTGCCTGTGGGGTCATCACAGCTGCTCCCCACCCTCACCTCCAGGGGGCTAGGAGCAGGAGAAGGGAAGCTTCTGAGCAGACTTGGCAGGATGCAAATAAAAAGATCCTTTCCAAGTGACCACCTGCAGGGCCCACACCAGAGCATTAAAAGGTTTAGACAGAGATAGTAAAAAAAATCAGCACTTTATAGTTCCCTTTACCAGAAATAGCCACTCCCCCTGTTTGATTTCCAGAAAGACCTACACCTTTATGAAGATGATACTTAAATTCACACAGGATCCTATTTAGTGAGAATCTCCACCTTTGAAATTAGAGGAATGTTAAATGTCCTGTTTTTCACCAAGGAAAACGCTTACCTTCAAAGAGTCGAGATTGGGCAATCACTTAGACAATTCAGAAGACACAGGGTCTGAGGATGTCTTCCAGACCCCCAGCACAACAGTGGCCTTGTTGGAGTAACCGTATAGGTGCCCAGCATGGCCCTGTGCAGGGAGAGTCCAGTGTGCTTATCCCCAAGTGGGTGACATGCATGGGCAAAACACTCCAGAATCATCACCATGCCCTGTGTTTTGTGGGCAAACGTGCTGGGTGTGGGGCACCTCCACATCGAGGATGCTGACAGATTACTTTCAGTAAGCTTGTCAGATTAAATGTCAGGGATAGGAGCTGGTGTTTGGGATGTGACTACCCTTTGCCACTGAACTGCCATGCAACACCCCGCCATCCAAGTGGAGGCAGGGCAAACTGTTGGGCTGTGCTCCAGAAGCACTCCCTAGTTCCTACCTCCATGGGGTGTTCTGGCAGGGGACAGCAGTTATGAAAGTGATTAGGAGCAATGGAAGTACAGGGTAAACAGCACCAAGCCAGTAGACTTGGTAGGGAGGGCTGAGAGTCCAGGAAGAGGGCCAAAGTAAAGGTGATGCCCTGAGGATGGGCCCTGAAGTCCAGTCCAGAGAGGAGGCTGGCAGGCCACTAGTGTCATTCAAGGCCTAAGACCAAGGTGGAGGGCCATCTTCACCTTAGGAGCAATGAGAACGGGGGGTGGTTTAAGCCAATAGGACAGGACCCAGTCAGTTTCCACCTATGAAAGCTTACACTGGCTGCTGTGTGGAGGAGGGATCAGACAGGACACATCCAGCTGGAAGGTGGAGGGCTGGCCCTGGAGCGGCAGTGGGCATGAGAGAGGTGATGGCAGACAGATATGGGGTGTGAGGGCAGGTATGCGGTAGGAAGTCGGGGTGGCCCTGGATGCTGGTGTGTGCATGGCTCAGAGCACCCTCTTTTCCCTAAAATTTGTTCTCTTCTTGCTGTAATGGCCACCCCTGAGTTCTGATCAGGGCTCCTGCCTGTGCCTCACAAGTCAGTCCCTCCACCCCCATCAGGGCCACACCCACCCGCTGCCCCTCTTTTGCTTAACTCCCAGTGCACCATGGCTCAGTGCCGGGACCTAGAGAATCACCACCACGAGAAGCTCCTAGAGATCTCCATCAACACCCTTGAGAAGATTGTCAAAGGCGAGCTCGATGAAGACTTGCCTGATGATGTTCGCACGGTGAGCAGCAAGGGCCTGTGCTGTGGGGTGCCGGGCCGACCTAGTCCTAGGTTCAGGAAAGTCTGCATCTCAAGAAGCCTCAGTGTACTTACATGTAAAAAGGGACAACAGTCCACTTTAGAGGATAGGGGCTAAAACCTGGCAGGACAACCAGGTAGAAAGGAAAGCATGGGAGTTAAGTGGTTTCATTTAGGACTTTGGTTAGTTCATTTCTGTGGGGGCTTCTAGCACTTTCTGAGAGGCAGCTATAGATAGTGGCTAGAGTCTGAAACTTCCCCCAAAGGTCTCCTTAGCTCTGTATTTCTGTGATGTGAAGCACTGTTTCTGACCCAACATGGTATAGTCCTATTTCTGCCTGCACTCAAGCAATGAGCAGGTCAGTGGGTCAGTCTCTGTGCCTGGCTCTGTCCCTTGGGCCTGTGTCCCTCACTCACCACTCCCTCCACTTGTACATTTCTCACCTCTCCTCATCTCCTGTCTGCTACCCCCCATGTTACATCATGCCACCCTCACCTATACCATTGAAATGGCCCCTTCACAGGTCTCCTGCAGGCCACTCTCCATATGGCACCCAGAGACCCTTTTAAAAACCCAAACCAGATCATTTGTACTGTGCACAGAACCCTCCAGTGGATACCCAAGGCCCCACTGTACCTCCCCATATTCTCCCCTTGTCTCCTACCTCTAACCCTGGTCTGGGCACTGTCCCAGCCTTTCCAGCTGACATTCCATCCAACAGACACTCTCCCCTCAGGTCTCGGGTCCCTGGCTCATTCTCATCATTCAGATCTCAGCTCAAGTGTCAGCTCCTTGGAGAAGACTTCCTGTCACTTCATATCTCTGTCATATACCCATTTATCCTGGTTTAATGGTCTTGTTTATATAGCTGTGCTCCCTTGATACTCTGTGGATGCCTGATGGAAGCCTGCAGGAGGTGAGGTGGTCTCTATCACCACGCTCCTGGTGCAGCAGCTGTGGGCATGGCGCACTGTGGAGTCAGGGTAGGCTGTGGACCGAGCAAGTGGGAGCATCCACTCCCTGGGCCTCCACCCTGCAGGCAGGTGCTACTCAGCCCACCAGACACAGAGGTCCAGCACCCTCAGCTGTGGAGTCTGTTGGGGCTGAGACAGAACCCAGCCAGCTGTACGTGGCAGGACCTCACACCAAAAAGCCCTAGTCACCAGCCTTCCATCCCTAAACACTTGCTAAAATGCTGCTAACTAGTGCAGACCAGAATCAGAGAGGAGCCATCTCCCAGAGCCAGGAAGTGAGGCTGCCCTTGAAAGACAACTGTGGGATTATAGATGGTCAGTACAGGGTGTCTGTGCACTGGTGATGGCCCAGCTCCCTGAGCAGTCTGCTGCTCTGTCATACTTGCTGGCAGCAACTCCGGCCATGGGAAAGGGCACATTTTTTTCTAAGCAACTTAAAAACCGAAACCAAACTCACTGCCGGCAAGTCAAATCAGACTCATAGGGACCACTCCTTGGGTCTCCGAGGCAGTATCACTATGGCAGTAGGTTGCCCAACCTTCCTTCTGAGGAGTGGCTGGTGGGTTTGAACCGCCAGCCTTGTGGTTAGTAGTCAAATGCCTTAGGCACTATGCCATCAGAACTCCTAAGCAACTTAGGACGGGGCTAAAATGTGTGCATTCCCTGATACCTTGGACAAGAAGAACAAGATAGGCCCAGAGTCAGCAGAGGAAAGGCAGCCTGGCAAGCACTTCCCCCCTACCAGCTGGCTCTGCCTGGGCTTCTGATACGCAGCCACCTGCTGAGGGAGGAAGCTAACCTCCCTAGGCCTTCGGCACAAAGTGGGCTCACCAAGGCCTTGCTGAGTGAAGGCTGGGCACTGTCTGAGCCTGATCACATGTGATCTCACTGAATTCTCCAGAGAACATTACACAGGAGGTACTGCTATCATCCCCCTTTCACACTTGAGATGCTGTTGTTTTTAGCCACCATCCAGTTGGCCTTGACTCCACGCACAATGGAAAGAAACACTGACCAGTCCTGTGCCATTCTGATGATCAGTTGCACATTGGACCATTGTGATCCATAGGGTTTTCATTGGCTCTTTTTAGAAGTAGGTCACCAGGCCTTTCTTCCAAATCCATCTTAGTCTGGAAGCTGTTCAGCATCAGAATACTCAGGCATCCACTGACAGACCGAGGTTGTGGCATTTGAGATACATTTGCTGTGAATCAATCCAGGTCTCTTGCATGGCAGGCTAGAATTCTACCACTGAACCACCACTGCCCCCTACAGATGAGAAAACAGGGTAAACCTGAGTCTTGAGGGAAGTTTGGTAAATTACCCAGGATCACACAGTTGTGATAATCAGAGTCTGTATTCAAATTCAAGTGAGAGATGTCAGAGCCAGCATCACTGCAGAGCTGGTCTGGGTCCTTTCCCGTAGACCACAGGTTGGCATCATGGGTAGTGCAGCTCTGCCTCCAAGGTGAGGAGCTGCCTTGGGCCAGCTGGCAGGAATGGTATCTAAGTTCCCTGGGGGAGAATGCTGCCCTTGAGGCCTCACAAGGACAGCCATGTGCACTGGAGAGTCTTACTGCTGTTGGCTGGGGTATGTCTATGCCCTTTTGGATACTTCTACAGTTGCAGCAAGGGACATCCCCTTACAGTTTCTTAGGTCTCCTTATATGTAAGCAACAAAATGGGGCATATTCTCAGGGGAGAAAGTTTGTCCCGACCAGAGGAAGTAATAGGTTTGATGATGGCTCCCATTTCACAGATGAGGAAACAGGCACAGAATGAGGTAATAACCTGTACAAGGACACAAGCTGTGGAGTTGTTAAATGAACCCAGACAATCTGATTCAGAGCCTTTGACAAATGCTTACTGAGTCTTTAGCAAGACTGAGCATGTTCAGATGAGGGGATAAGGCCTATAGTGAAAACTCCAGCTTCTGTTAGCTAATCACCAATGAACATATCATGATCAAAAAGGTACCCACCGAACTCATCTATCTCTTTATATCTCCTCTCATTCTGCTGAGTGGCTGTTATCAGTTAATACCAACCCTGTCTCAACTCTGTATCTTCAAGGCCTGCCAGGTCTTGCAGGAGAGAGTAGAATGCCCAGCCCAGGGAGCGCTCTGAGCTAGTGTGCAATGGGGCCCTCAGCAGAGGCTGGTGTGGCTGTGATGAGGCAAGGGGCACAGAACCAGCCACAAAAAGTCTTTAGCACATGTCAGAGGTAGCAGGGAAGCCAGATGCCTTCCTGGATGCTCTGAATGCTTGGGTTGATGTCTAGCTATGGTGTCCAACTCCTCTGCTTATGCCCAAGTCCAGGCTATGGAGGGACTTGCAAGGCCCCAAGAGCTACTCCAGTGGGGGCCCATGTACAAGGGCAATGATGAAGCCCAGCCAGACCCAGGTGATGTGTACAGGGGTCACAATGAGTACCATGTGGGACCTAGGTGGCTCCCTCAACATGGGAAGCTGGGCACTCAAGTCCATGCCCTATCAGGCAATCTGGGAGAGGGGGCATCTTTGCAGCAGAGGGGACCACGATGCCATCAGGTACTCTGGGCAGTTAACAGGATAATGGGATCCCATGAGAGCACAGGGCAGCAAGTATTCAGACCATCAGCATCACAGTGGTCCTGGGGGTAGGTACCAATTGTGCCCTTCCCAAAAACTCTCCACAAGAAGTTGCTTAGAAAGAAATGTGCCCATTCCCATGGCCAGAGTTGCTGCTTTGGAAGGTCAGCAAGTACCACAGACCAGCAGACTGCTCAGGGATCCGGGCCATCACCAGTGACCTATATTCCCCAAGGCTTCACCCCTGCAGAAACCAGAAGGAGATCCACAGCCTACTACCCACAAAAATTATTCAAAAGGGAAAACTGAAGCAGCCAGCACTCTGGGCCACCTGAAGTCTAAAAAGAACTTTGCAGTTTTTATTATCAGTTCTTTAAACCAAATGGTTCCCCAGACATTCTATTCCCCACATCAGTGAACCTGGTTATTCCCACTTGTCATTCCACAGAAAACGAGCACCCCACAAGATATTAACAGTATACTCTAAAAAGGAGCCTGTACCAAATAAGTTAGAAACCTGAGAGAAACAAAGTTTTAAAAGTTTATTTTCTGCAGGACTTTCTAGAACCTTCAAAATGCTTTGCATGCTATGGCCACTGTAACAAAGTACCACAAATTTGGTAGGTAAAACAATAGAGATTTTTTTTGTCACAGTCCTGGAGGCCTAAAGTCCAAAACTAAGGTGTCAGCAGGACCATGCTTCCTCCAGACGTTCTAGAGAAGAATCCTTCCTTGCTTATTCCAGTTTCTGGTATCTCCAGGCATTCCTTGGCTTGTGGGCACATCACTTCATCTCGTTTCTGTGGTTAAATGACTTCCTTCTTTGTGGGTGATTACATTCAGGGTGCACCAGGAAAATATAGGAAAAGCTACTCCTCTCAAGAGCCTTAACTTAATCACATCTTTTGCCACATGAAAGCACTATTCACTTTTTTGTCATAAAAAGTAATATGCACATGTTCTGGGGATTAGGAAGTGAATATATTTTT